GTTTTACGTCCAATGGATGATGATCTGATTAGTCGACTAATCGCAAAAATAATTGATGACTAGTCGACTATCAAAATAATCGTTTGTGGCAGCCCTAATGATATTTCAGTTGAAACCAACACATTCGATTTGAAGTTAAGCCTTTCCACAAAAGGAACTTCATTATGTTGTAATAATAATAATAATAATAATAATTAAATAAGTTTTTTTTAACAAAACAACATTTAAATTTTTTTATTTTATTTACACCATTAGAATATTGTCTGGGTTCATTATTATGTGTTATTATTATTAAATCAAAAACCTTATCAGCGTGTACTGTAGTGTTGTCTAATGCATACTAATCTTGTTCAGGTGACAACATCCAGGGAGTTTCAGGCAGTCCGGTGTCCTGGGAACATTTTTTTCACTCGCTCATGCTCTACCATGAAAACCTGCGACGAGACCTCCCAAATCCAGATTCGGCTCACTACCGCCACCCGCCACTCAGGGGCATCACCCAAAGAGAGATGGAAGGACTTACCTCGTTTTTGCAGTTGCTCACCACCATCATCACATGGGTATGCCACAACAGGCATGAATCTGTGCTGCTACGTGGGTGTAAAATACCACAAAGTCAGATGTTTATTTCTATCTTCTCTAGAGTGAAAATGCTCGACTGGCCTTGTGCGAGCATCCCCAGTGGACCCCAGTTGTCGTGATGTTGGGATTGCTTCAGTGCAGCGTTCCTCCCGTCCTGAAAGCTGAGCTCCTGCACTGCCTGGCAGCGTTTGGAAAGTCACCGGAGATCGCTGCTTCACTCTGGCAGTCGCTGGAGTACACGCAGGTGAAACAGAACAATGTTTTATTTTTATTAAAAATGACATGATTTTAGACACCAGTGCTCTCACCACTGAAATGACTATAAGATGCTGTAAACATGCAAATGTCCAGTCCTCATGATTGCAGCCATTTCTTAAAACCTAATTTCCAGAAAACAAAACATCGTCACTCTTGTGTTTCTATCTGTAACTTTGTGTTTTGAAGCTTCTCATTTTGTTTTCATTTCTTGTCAAACAGATCCTTCAGACGGTGCGAGCCCCCGGACAGAGACAAGCAGCAGGGATAGAGGTGAGATTTTAGTTGTGTTTTTGTTTTTTCAGCAAGCGTAATGGTCAGAGGGTGACATTTAAGCC